CCCGAAGGGGAGCACCCTGCACTGGACTACTTGGCCCAACTAGGCAAATCGAGAGAGTCGCTGACTCACTGGGTGTATCAGTATGTGCGGGTAAGTATCGCTCTAATCTAGCGAGGCTAACCAGTAGAAACAGAGCATGGAGAATATATCAATACTCAGCGGTTCCAGGAAACATACTGATTTAGTGTGCTTAAGTCCAGAACAGATTGTAGCCACCTGTAGTCGTTGGAACCACCAATACTTGCAAGTAGAAGTCCGGAATTAATGCTGGGTCCCCTATCCTGTGTATAGAGCCCTTTGTAAGCATACTATCTATTTCCTGTCGGATTGCTCCAACTTTGCGGGGGTCCCCTGGTAGTGCCCCAAATGGGGGCTCGTGTCAGGGGGTTGGAGATTGCAGTGGGATCTCGTAACCGTGCAAGGCCGCCTGGAGAGTCCAGGGATCAGTTACGTGCTGCCTCCGAACCGGAATACATTGGCGCAATCAGTGCAACAGAGATGTGTGGGTTCGGTGGTTCTACATCAGGGGTGATCACTTCTCGCCGAGGTGAGACCCCGTGAGGCCTGTAGAAGTCAGTAGGTGCCTCCCGCCAGACATTTGCCCATTCCCCTTGTCGCAAGCAAAAGCATCAAACATGCTTCCCCTGCGAGCTGGGTAGGCAACCCCCAAGGAAGAGGGGGCACCACCTGGTCCCTTCTTCCTCTGGGGCGCTGCACCACTCTTCCTTCCCCCGAAAGATTCAGGACGCTTGCCTCCTGGCTACTTCTGGCCAATGGGTGCCGACTTTGGTCGTTATGTTTTCTCAGCTTGGGGTCCTTACCACTTGCCCTTGGCAGAAGCCAAACTGGCTTGCGGGTCTCACCTGTACCAACGGGTCAGTGGGATCTCGAAGCACTGAGACTGCTCCTTCCATCCTCAAAACACGAGAGCCAGATGATATCCCACGTAGTCGTGTGGTGTCCCATCAATGGCTGTGTCTGCGGGTCGAGGAGGTTTGTGTGTTCCGCCTTTGAGACTTCAGAGTGCTGGCGGCGTAAAACAATAAGTTTCAGTGGGCTGGCCACAACCCAGAGGTTGAGGGTCGCCACTCTGCTCTCAGTGCGTAGAATGTTTACGACTAAACGGTT